GCTAAGCCGAATCATTTTCTTTGCAAGAGTTATCTCCCTATTCACTGTTTATCATCTGTGTGCATCTCCTTCGTAACAAAAAAAGATATCGACAAAATTCTTTTTCTTAATTGTTCGTTACATACTCAGGAATTTTTGGCTAATTTGGATCGAAGCGATTAGATGAAATTTTATAGGAGTTATCTACCTTTACCAAAAAAATTTGTCGGTATGTTTTTTTATCTCATAAACCTTTAACCGTATAACCCTGGAATGTTTTTATATGAGGCCCCTAGGTCCCAACTTAGAAAATAAAGTCAAGGTCAAAGGTCAAGGTCAAGTTCTAAATTTTGACTTTTCCTTGTTTTTGCATTTTCTCAAACACTTTTAAAGATATATATAAAAGAACAAGTGCAAAATGTTTGCTTTATTGTAATGAAGATATGATACATTTGGTCTGAGACAATCCAGCGACATCTTATTGGAGTTATTGCCCCTGAAATGTTTTATTTTAAGGTAAATTGATAATTACTTCATATTGGTACATGATAAAGCCATAAGATCTTTTGCAAAATGTTGAGTGACATATGACCTTGAAAAATGTCAACCGGAAGTGACCTTAAGTGAACCGGAAGTAGTCATTTTTGCACTTATTTCATGTAGAAGTACATAGAAACCATATATTTTTTGAATGTCATACATTAATCTGTCATTTGAGACCGGGAGTGATATTTTATAAACCGGAAGTAGCATATTATCTCATTTTTTACAGGCAAACGTATATATAAACCATATATTTTTGGAATCAGTGTAAATAAAGCTATCATATGAGACCAAAAGTGACATTTTCTAAACCGGAAGTCGCCAATTATCTCCCTTTTTACAGGCAAAAGTATATATAAACCATATATTTTTGGAATCAGTGTAAATAAATCTATCATATGAGACCAGAAGAGACATTTTCCAAACCGGAAATAGCCAATTATCTCCCTTTTTACAGGCAAAAGTATATATAAACCATATATTTTTGGAATCAGTGTAAACAAAGCTATCATATGAGACCGGAAGTGACATTTTCTAAACCGGATGTTAACAATTATCTCCCTTATTTCAGGCAAAAGTCTATAGAAACCATGTTTATTGAATCAGTATGAAGAAACCTATGATTGGACGCCAATAGTAGCTTTGAGTAAACCAGAATTATCTTCTCATTAATTATTCAGAAAATTGATGTGGAAAGACCTTCAATTGTTCTTTGAACAATTGGTTTTTAATTATTATTTTTTTTTTTTTTTTTTTTTTCTTCCGCCAAATTTTGTTCTTGCGATAAATGTTTGTTTCGCAATATGTCGCTTAGATATTTCTCATATTGTATCGTATAGTTTATGCGCTTTTAAATTTCACCCTGCTAAGCCGAACCATTTTCTTTTTAAGAGTTATCTCCCTATTCACTGTTTATCATCTGTGTGCATCTCCTTCGTAACAAAAAAAGATATCGTCAAAATTCTTTTTACAAATTGTTCGTTACATTCTCAGGAATTTTTGGTTAATTTGGATCGAAGCGATTCGATGAAATTTTATAGGAGTTATCTACCTTTATCAAATAAATTTGTCATTATGATTTTGTTACTCATAAACTGTACGCCGTATAAACCTATAGTCTTTTTATTTAAGGTCCTTGGATCCTAACTTCGAAAATGAGGTCAAGGTCAAAGGTCAAGGTCATGTTCTGAATTTTGTCTTTTGCTTGTTTTTGCATTTTCTCCGATATTTTTAATGTTATATATTAAAGAACAAGTGCAAAATGTTTGTTATATTGTGATGAAGATATGATAAAATTGGTCTGAGACAATCCAGCGACATCTTATTGGAGTTATTGCCCCTGAAATGTTTTATTTTAAGGTAAATTGATTATTACTTCATATTGGTACATGATAAAGCCATAAGATCTTTTGCAAAATGTTGGCTGACATATGACCTTGAAAAATGTCAACCGGAAGTGACCTTGAGTGAACCGGAAGTAGTCATTTTTGCACTTATTTCATGTAGAAGTACATAGAAACCATATATTTTTTTAATGGTCATACATTAATCTATCATTTGAGACCAGAAGTGATATTTTATAAACCGGAAGAAGCCAATTATCTCCCTTTTTACAGGCAAAAGTATATATAAACCATATATTTTTGGAATCAGTGTAAATAAAGCTATCATATGAGACCGGAAGTGACATTTTCTAAACCGGAAGTAGCCAATTATCTCCATTTTTACAGGCAAAAGTATATATAAACCATATATTTTTGGAATCAGTGTAAATAAAGCTATCATATGAGACCGGAAGTGACATTTTCTAAACCGGATGTTAACAATTATCTCCCTTATTTCAGGCAAAAGTCTATAGAAACCATGTTTATTGAATCAGTATGAAGAAATCTATGATTGGACGCCAATAGTAGCTTTGATTAAACCAGAATTATCTTCTCATCAATTATTTAGAAAATTGATGTGGAAAGACCTTCAATTGTTCTTTGAACAATTGGTTTTTTAATTTTTTTTTTTTTCTTCCGCCAAATTTTGTCCTTGCGATAAATGTTTGTTTCGCAATATGTCGCTTAGATATTTCTCATATTGTATCGTATAGTTTGTGCGCTTTTAAATTTCACCCTGCTAAGCCGAACCATTTTCTTTGCAAGAGTTATCTCCCTATTCACTGTTTATCATCTGTGTGCATCTCCTTCGTAACAAAAAAAGATATCGACAAAATTCTTTTTCTAAATTGTTTGTTACATCCTCAGGAATTTTTGCCTAATTTGGATCGAAGCGATCCAGTGAGATCTTAAAGGAGTTATCTGCCTTTACCAAATCAATTTCTCGTTATGTTTTTGTTACACGTTAACCGTAAGCCGTATAAAAAAATTTGACCAAAATGTTAGTCGCGACATGATATAACTGCAAAGTTTGTGTCAAAATGGTACGCGTCGTTGTTTTAGGGGTTCCATGCCACTGAAATAGTAAAATGAACAAAATGAACTAATTATAGCCTCAATCTTTGCAGCTATCATGATGTATACATGCATCTTATCTTAATTTATCAACCAAGGTCCACCATCCTCCACCTCTCTCCCCCCCTTTTTTTTTTTTTTTTTTTTTCTTCTACTTAGAGGAATCTCATTTCGCCTTGAAGTTCAGTCCTGTACATTTGACTGTAAAAATGCAATCCTTCTGATGTACAAACTTCTTAAATAGAAATTCATTCCTGCAAAAATCGGCTCCGATTCATGTTCCCGTTAGACGCGGTCCGCTTGATTGAGAAATAAAATTCAATGACGTGGAAAAATCGTAAATATTGCTGAAATCCTACAATCAAATTTTTTAATCTTGCATTGAAATACAAATCTGTGCTCCCGTAAACATGTGTGCGTAAGATGCATGCATGATCCGTCATCAATGACCTGTAAATAATAAAACCAAAAGTGATCATGTTTGTCCGATCAGTACACATGTGCTCTGTTCAACGGTCTCCCCTGAAAAGAAATTGATATTCTAACTCCAGACATATATATTCGAGGGTCACGTGACTTCACAACACCATCTCGCGCGCGGACCTAAATTTAGAATAAAACATTCCATATCCAAATAAGGAAAACAAAATTTCCAAGATAAAATTTACTCCGTTTTCCTACAAATTCAATCAAAATGCATACACAACAAATAGATGAAAAATGGAAGTCCGAGGTAACATAGAAACTAGAGAAAATGTATAAACGAATGATGCTAGGATCAATTTTTATGAGGACATCTCAGGTGTCCGTTTGGCTGTGTGGGATGTATAGAGTACGCAGTCACGTTCGGTCAGAATATAGGCGTTATCTAAGTTAGCTGCGTCGCACAGAGAAAGTGCCATGCAATCAATCAATCAATCAATCAATCAATCAATCAATCAATTAACCGACTGACCAACCAACCAACCAACCAACCAACCAAGCAAAAAACCAATTAATCATGTTTCGGAGGGGAAAGACCGTTTAACAATTGTTTTTAAAACAATTGATTTATATTTTTCTTTTATTATTTTTTGTGTACATATACTATTGTATGTTCATTTTTCCGATGTTTATGTCTGCCTCTCGTCGACAAACTGTTTTAACACCTTTTTATCATCCCTTATTTTTTCATATTGTTTTTATATGGTATTAGTTCAAAATAACAATAAATATTTTGATTTAATACAAATTGTGTAAAACTCAATCGCCAGAAAAGTAAGTGATTAAACACGCTTTTTAGGCAACAACTACTTCCATTGACCATGCAAACTGCCACACCATTTGCATTTATTGCTAATTATCAACACAATTAACATTTAATTCCTAATAATAATAATAGTACTGACATGATTTATAACTTTAAGGAAGATATTAAAACAAGAGCTACAAGTGGTTTAGATACAATCATCCCTTCGAAATTTTTACGGACACCATCACGAGTGTGACCTAGCGAATTAGCCTTATCACCGTGTTTGGACGTACATGAGAAACATGACGACTGCCTTCGGGATCCCGATCGACCACCCCGGGTTTTGGTGGAGTACGTCAATCTTTATTTTTCTATGTTGTGTTTTGTATATTATTATCCTTTTTGTCTTTTTTCAGTTTTTTTTTTTTTTTTTGCCATGGCGTTGTCAGATTAATTCGACATGAGTTTGAATGTCTCTTGGTATCTTTTGTCTCTCTTTTACACGACCCTGTCTTTTTTTTTTTGGTATAGGCACCATCCAAAAAAATCGTATAAACAAAGGTAGATAGTTAGTAATAAGAAAAGTTGTGTAAAAGGTTGACATTTGTCCTTCTATATGAATTGGAAGCATTGTATATATTTTCATCATATTTAATGTATGTGCTATTTTATTACATTCATGACATTTGATATCTGTTTCAAATAATAAATTATCACACATCGCTTATCATTGTTATTTATTTATAAAATATATATAGTCAATTGAAAAGAAAGACATTGTGGTCAGGATCAGAAACGACATTGGACCCTTTTTTTCTCTCCATTAAAGTACAGCTTTTGCTCTTTCTTACGACGTCTGCAGCATGGCATCCGTTCATATAAGCACAAATGTATGCACAGTGAATATCGCTATTGACGTGTGTTGTTTCAATGGTTCCGTCTAGTCCATCATAACTGTGACCTTCAAATCCACATGTATAAGGCAAGGTCACTGAAAATATATTAAAGAAATAAAAAAAAATATTAAAGGTTCCTCCTAATTATTATTAATACCCTGGGGAAATCAAATCAACGATCACTATGAAATCACTGAATATGCAGATAAACACACCTAACAGGAGAAAACATAGATCAAGTGGAGACGATTAACTGCATTATTCAATAATCTTTCAGCAAATGCTAATAACAATTTAGATTACTACATAATATATAGATTCAATATATATCGAAGAAGATAACTCGATAACGTGCTCTTATCAATTTACATAATCCGCATCCCCCTTTTAAAGGTAGGCAACATCAGATTCATAATGATCATGAAACGAAACATAATCCCATGCCATAAGCCCCAGTACATTAACTATTGTTCAAGTTGAATAACTTTTTCAAGTGTAATGGAAAATTGAAGTTGCAATTTTAGTGACTGTCACTTGATAGCCTGGAGAAATTTCGTATCATTGTTCCGAATTCATTTCGTAGTTTATAATCAATTTAATACATCCGGATTGTATTCAGAATCGAAAGTTGCATTGAATTGTCTTTTTTACTGTGAGATTTGCAATTTAATGTCATTGTTATCAATACACTTTGGAATAATAATTCTTCAACCGTATGGTTGTATGAGGGCTTAATAAATTATGATGAGCATGTGTATATTTAAATTGATAATAAATAGACAGTGTCAATTCACAGCAGAATTTTTGTTTTTTTGACTGTTGCTATCCATCAAATCAGTCCAATATAAACGTTATATACTGACATAACCGATATTCAGAAAAAGTCCCAATATTTCGATTAAAGAATTCTAACAACATTGAGTGAAAATATATGACATCGAATGAATTTCAACTTTGAATGAAACAAATAGCATCAACAGGAAAACATATTTTGTTCTGATGCATTCTAGTGATGTCTGTGTATATCCAATAATGCGTTCGAATGCAATTGCAAAGAACATGACACACTCATCAAACATGTCAGATTGACAAAGAAAATATATCTGATCTATGAGTAAAATCCAGTAAAACCCTGGTTTCCATCGTTTTTTGCCAACATTTAAAATAAAATAGATAATAAAATAATGAAAAATGTTGATGTGGATTCGTGAGAAGTTAAAACCACTCGAAAACCAGAAGTGGTTAAATTTTATAATTTTAAAGAAATAATTGCCGGCAATGAAAAACACAGTGTAATTAGAAAAGGTGCATACACTGAAATCCTATTGATAATGTTCACGCATATTTTGGCATTGCACAAGGTCGTGTGCATCTCATATTGTTTATGACTCTTCTTACACTAAATCCGTTGGATGTGTACTGATTGATACTTTGGTCTATGAGAACATGATTTATTTATTAGTTGTTTTTGACTTTGAACTAGCTTTCAGTAACTGCGAGTACTCTTATATCAGTGCTTTGTGTTATTGATTTTTATTTTTATTTTTCCTTCTCCAGCTTTTATTGCAAAAACGCAGAAGGATGTTATATAACACAGCCAAAATTACATAATGTTTTCCATCAAAACAAATATATTTGTAAATCATTACAATAAATAGTATTTCAGTTTCTTAAATATCAGAACATTGTTTTATGTTAGTTGTTTTTGTGCTTTGTTCCAATCTAGTGAGCTTAGTCTTTTGCAACTGATTTTTACAGTTTATTCTTATGCTGTGCTGTAACACCACTGTTTATGGTTATGGGATTGCTGAGCGCTCACAAATATGTTTAACCCCGCAACATTCTTTATGTGCCTATTCAAAGTCAGGTGCGCGGTTTTAAGTGGTAGCCATTGGTTCATAACTGTCATAAGTGTTATTCGTAAATTTCATTGTATAAATTTAACTGTTTTCCCATTTGAATTGTTTCACATTTTTCATGTTGCGGCCTTTTATAACTGACTACACGGTATGGGGTTTTTCATTGTTGAATGCTGTAATGTGACTTATAATTGGTTTTATGTTTTTCATTGGAACTCTGGTGGATTATTGTCTTATTGGTAATCATACCACATTTCCCTACTTTCATATAATATAACCAGTGATTAGATTGAATGAAAATCTGATCTGCTGCTTTATTTTTATCGCCCACGTTATATATGTTGTCAATTTTGTGTAGCGCTTTTTGAAACATAAAAACAAATAAACTAACCTGAATTTAAATCCTGCAAATATAGTCCATGTACCTCAACTTAACATAAGGCTAAAGGATTCGGGTCTTTCAGCTGTATGCGAACATACCTTCCAATGGTCCCGTGAGAACAGGTAGCATTTAGATAGGTAGTTGCCTCCTGTATGTGATGGCACAGTGAAGTAACTCCTTCAAACCAATGGGTTGAGTTTTTGCATGGCTTAATGACGTCAATGTTGAAATTTGAGAGTCTCTCAGCTACAATACATATCAAAGATGACTACAATAATATACAACTTGTCGTATCACAATATCGTCAACAAAATATTCGTCTTCATAACATAAACAGTACCTACAATTTTTCTGCACCAGATGCCCATTTCGACAATCAATGTCTCTTCAGTGATGCTCGAGGCCAAAACATTTGAAAATCCAAAGCTTATTTAAAAAAAGAAAAGCCATTAACCAAAAAAGTATAGCCAAAGCCGGGCAAGGAATCAGAGCTTTGCATGAGGCAGATATATTCCTGAATTTAAAATAGTTTCCAAAATTTTGTAACAGCAAATTTTAATAACACAAAATCCGTATTTTCATCCCAGTAACAAAAAAAATGGCTACTGGGTTGGTGATACCCACCCATCTGTTATACAAATATCGGACGCACAAAATTAATTTAATGTTATTTCAAATTTTAGACAACAAAATCATGATAGCGTTTGCAGAGATCATTCACTGTAACTTCACCACAAAGAACTCTTTTTAAGCAGTAATCCTCGACCAAGGAACTGTTATACGAAATTAAGACTTGAACCTTCGTATCAATTAATTCATCTTCATAGATACCAAAATTAAATTTTGTAAGTCAAACGCGCCTTTCGTCTACAAAAAGACTCATCAGTGTCACTCAAACGTTAAAAAGGCCAAATAAAGTCCGCAGTTGAAGAGCAATGATGACCACATATTCTGATAGAATTAGCCAAAATGCGGCTAAGGTAATCCACTGTGAATTACATACACTAAAAGTAGGCGATGGTGGAGTATTATTATAAGCCCCGTCTAAGAAACCATTTAGAATTATGATTCCAACCATGAGTACATAAGTCTTACAAATTTGTAATTTTGTTTTGATTTTATATAAATCGAGATTCAAATTATATGAATACAAATGTCAAAAGTTTTATTCATAAAAAAACGTTGTAATATACATCCTTACTAACATCTATAGAAAACATATAAAATATCTTGTAAAACAACTGTGCTGTGAACATTTCGCCTCGTGTACTTATAATTAATGAAATTATATGTTAATTTTCATGGCATGTATGACAATTGTTTTCGATTTGTTTCATTCGTTGATGAAGTCTAACGTTTGAATTTGTCAGTCTTTATAGACTTCCCAATTTTCAAATTTACCTTGGAGTTTTCTTAACACGACTGTAAATCGAGACAAATGATAGTAAAAGATTTATAGTAACGGTGATAAAGTATTGCGATCGGATCGGGAAAGTTCTAATAATGGATTCTGAGGGAAATTGTATAAAAATATCTGTAAATAATTATCAAAGGTACCACATTCATTAAAGACACCAGGCATACAGTTTGATTTGCCAGCGGTTACTGCCATCTCCATAAGACTTATCTAAAGCACTCGAAAATCAAAACAGTGTGAAGTCCAAGTACCGAAAACATTATTATTTCGAATAATTCAAAATTTATAAACAGTACAGTTACAGAAAATTAACCTATAAATGATATTTCATTTTAAAATTGTCCAGAAATATGATAAGTTTCTGAAATAAATAAAAGATAGTTTAACTACCGTTTCACACAACCACAAAAGGCAAATCGTTCATCAGTATTTAAATATCATACAAAATAATGACCAAATTACTTTTCACTGAATAATGTGGTTCGACACTATTATTTAAAAGCAGGCCTATAAACTGCTTTACAGCGATTTATGCAAAATTTAAAAAAAAAAACAGAACATTTATATAGATTTGATATTTCTGATCCGGAATGAAACAAATAGCTTTATGACAATCGTTAAAAAGATCATAAAATATCAGATCTCGCGTATTTCGTTTTGCAGCGTTCATATCATTCTGTAATCATATGATAATATATCATTTTGATTTATTTAATTGAAGATTAGACTAACCCGATTTATTGCACTTCATTATTGTGTTGTGTTCGTTCTTGTTTTATCTACTAATCACACGCATAAATAAAAAAAAAGTATAATAATAGGTAAAATAAAAAATCTTTATTATTGTCATGTTTTGACTATAACAATCCAAATAATGCCTTGCTTAATTTAAGATAAACATAAACAAAGGGGCATTAAGTGTTATCCTTGTCCGTCCGTATGTACGTCCCAAAATTGGTTTCCGTTCTCTAACTTTAGTTTGCTTCAACCAAATGGTATGAAACTTATACACAATGCTTATTACCACAAAACACAGATGAAGTTCGAATTTGGTGTCACTTTTACCGTTCTCGAGTTATGCCCCTTTAGAACGATATATGCAAGCGGGGTATCATCTGTGTCCCATGGACACATTCTCCATCATTTGTTTTTAATAAACTGAACTGAAGAAAACCAATTACACTTTAATGTTCTTTTAGACAAACTTACGGATTAGTTTAAAATATAGCATAATATATTGAAATGTGACCCTACTCGATTCTATACGGTTTTTTTTCGATGATAATTCGCATAAGGCTATGAATCGTATTTCCTTTAAAAAGCACTGCATTTTCGTTTTGTTAACTAAATGCACAGTTTCACAGAATAATGATGCTCATTTCGACAGACATTTTTCAAACGTATTTAACCTTTTATAATACTAAGATTTTTTCCACATACTTTGATGTTGAATTGTATTTGATTTCATTCATTATTTAATCGGTAACTTTGACAACCCTTAATTCTTCTTTGACGACCATTGTTCTCGATAGGCGGAATAAAATGCGAGCCATTAATAAGGATCAGTTTTATATTCGATTTCACAACAAAAAACTAAATAAGAATGTTTCGGTTTGTTAGCAACGTTGTCAGACATTGTCATTGTTTGTAAATATCCTAGCATTATGTCATAAGCACAAAATAGTTCTGTCTGAAAAGCCAAACATGATAGATAGAACAATCTCGCACAATTCATTATACCTTTTTTATGCCCTTCCTAGGGGCATTATGTTTTTCGGTCTGTACGTCCGTTTGTTCGTCCGTCTGGCCATTCGTTCGTTCGTTCGTCCGTCCGTCTGTCCCGCTTCAGGTTCAAGTTTTTGGTCAAGGTAGTTTTTGATGAAGTTGAAATTCAATCAACTTGAAACTTAGTACACATGTTTCCTATGATATGATCTTTCTAATTTTAATGCCAAATTAGAGTTTTGACCCCAATTCCACGGTCCACTGAACACACAAAATGATATTGTACCGCTTCATGTTAAATGTTTTTGGTTAAGGTAGTTTTAGATGAAGCTGAAGTATAATCAACTTGAAACTTAGTACACATGTTTCCTATGATATGATCTTTCTAATTTTAATGCCAAATTAGAGTTTTGGCCCCAATTTTACGGTCCACTGAACACAGAAAATGATAGTGTGAGTGGGGAATTCGTGTACTATGGACACATTCTTGTTTGAAGTTTTTTTTTTCAAAAATTATTTAAAACCTTTTACATTTCATATAATGATTTTACCACATTAAGATATTGATGAATATTTAAAACAAACATGCCGAGAATACTTTCGTTTTGTTCTATTAATGTTTATGAATTAAGCAACACTCGGTTAGTAAGCAAACTTCAGATTGATCGGCAAAAAGTGTTTAAAATTGATTAAAGAAATTAAAAAAAAGCTTGCTTTAAAAATAAACAAGCAATTTTTCAATTTGATACAATCTATTTCATTATGTGCAATGTCGAACAGATACCATTGCGATTATTTATTTACGCCAATTCAATATTCATACCGGTATAAACTCCGTTGTAAGCGTACATTTAAATTGAGGCGACAGTAACTTACTGATGTTCAAATCTTGTAACTCGATAAGGAAGAAACAAATTAAGGTCACAAACGAAAACTGAGAGAATCGCAAAAGGAGCAAGGCAGGAAAAGCATCTCCTACTATGCATGCATCACTCGCCATTCTAACAGTAATCTGCAAAAAATTCACACATTATAATGTTTTACACATTTTACATATGCAATACCTCGTCCTTGAAACATTGTCTCTTTCGCATGAAATTTATAGTGTTGTTTTAAATTTTTTACAACACTTGCTATTTAACCTTTTAAAAACTATCGAAAATAATGTTACAAACCAAGCTGGGGTTGTTAGTTTAAAGCGATTCTGCATACAAATTTAGCTATCGTTTTGTTTTGTTTTGTTTTTATTTTAGGGGGAGTGGTAGCATTTACATATTTTTCAAACAAACGCACTTCAAAATAACTGAAATACATACTGTTGATAGAATTGTTAAAATTGTCTACAATTGAATATAGATTTCATGTTATACATCACAAAAGTATAACAAGGTAAATTCAAAAAGGGGAAAGTCCATTAAATCTGGAAAAAGCAAACGTTGACTTTATTAACCAACAGAATGAATTGAAATCAACTGTCATATTCCTGACAGACGAAAATGGTAGGTTAAACTTGGTGATTTAAATGCTTAATTGTGCATTTAAAATAATGAATGTACAAACATAAAGATAAAATCAAATTTGCTGACTTTTTGATTCGTCTTTAATCTATGAACGAAATTTAAATAATATTACAGGGATAATAAAAAATTCTTTATTATTTGTAAATGATAACGGAGAGAAGAACATATGTTGTGAATTATTTTATAATTTTTTAAACACTCCCTTAAATAAAGTGTTCACATTTTTTTTCGCACTTTTCTCTGTTTAAATTCATGACAAAGCAAACAATATAACTGTCGACCTGCCTTCAAGATTAGATACAAATATTCTTTTAATTTCGTTGTTTTTGTGGATTGATGAATACCTGGATTTTTGTAGATACTTATCATCGCTGTTTTCTAAAATTTAACATGCAAGTCTACAAGAAATTGGTATTTCCTTGAACACTTAAATTCTGAGTTCACCTATACCATGGACAGCCATTGATTGAGGATTAACTGCGTTTCCTTCTATCGAAGTGGTATTGATACATTTTTCACGCAACCCTAAAAGAAGTTGATATTTTGATGAAAATTCAAATTCTTGATTCAACATGTTCAACTGTTCCAATGAAATCATAAATTACATGTTCAGATGTGTATGGCCACGAGTGCAAAAAATAGAGTATCAGTGGTTGTCGTTTGTTGCTGTATATTATATTTGTTTTTCGTTCCTTATTTTGAACATTAATCAGGTCGTTAGTTTTCTCGTTTGAATTGTTTTACATTTGTCATTTCCGCCTTTTATAGCTGACTATGCGGTAAGGGTTTTGCTCATTTAAGACGGCCGTACGGTGACCTATAGTTGTTAATTTCTATGTTATTTGGTCTCTGGTGATTTTGTCTCATTGTCAATCATACCACATCTTCTTTTTTTTATATCATGTTAGTCCAACATCAAAAGTTGTGATGTCACTTAATCAAGAATGTTTAAAAGCCTCGTAAAAATACAAATACTTATATTAGGGACAAAAAGTGCCCATATCGTATCTTCTGCTTTCAAATAAAATTGAGAATGGATACGGGAATGTTTCAAAGAGACAATAACACGACCAAAGAGCAGAACACAGCGAGAAAATCCCGCACCCGGAGGCGGGCTTCAGCTGGCTCCTAAACAATATTGTATATTAGTTCAGCAAAAATGGACGCCACACTAAACTACGAAACATATAAATGAACCAAAATTAGAAAAAAATACAAGACTAAGTATTCATTAGAACATACCACGAAAGTATATCTTATTACACAAATAAGAAATATGTTATTGATAACTTACAACAACAGTCTGTTCTACCAAATATAACAACATTACTGATAGCATAAATTGCTCCAAGATCTACAGCCCACCAATGACGTTGATCGTGAGGTGGAGCAGTGTGTGAACACCCTGTGCTCGACACAAGATTTTGTTCGTAATTTCCATCTACTGCCTTTGCACACTCTCTAACGTCATCATCATAGTATGTTGACTGGGTAGTTTATTTGTGCTTTGCAACGTTCAGTGCAACTGTAATATAAAATGACATTAATAAATGAAAACATTTCTTCTTGTTTAAAATAAATTTTTATGCGTGTAGGACTGATTGGTTCTTTCGTAATTGGGTGTGTAAATAAAAAAAGTCTATGTTGGCAAGTAATGTCATGTAATAATAGTCCAAAAATATTTATAGAAATTTGTACTCGACGATCGAGGCAATGAAGTGCTTCTACGGTCTTCCGCTTAAGTTGTCGACACTCGTTCTAATTAACCCTTCAAACATCGTTGAGCAATGGGGCCAATTAGAATATTAAAAAAAAAATGGAATAGTAGTTTACCAATATTCAATTTTGAATCATCAATTTTGAATCTATAAATGAAGAGCAGTAAAACTAGTAGTATTGACAAACAGTCAGTGAACACAAGTTTAACAATAAGATTTGGAAACAAGAGGCTCCTCAGAGCCTTAATATGTCACTGAACAAAAAAAAAGTCATTTTGAATTTTACTCTCGCCATATTGCAATATTGCAATAAAATATACAATTCGAAATTTACTTTATATACCTCAACGTTCACTTAGTCTTTGGTCGCTATTTGAAAAAGAGTATTGGACTTTCAAAGAAATCTCAAACAGTTGTCGATGCACTCGAAATTCTATTGACAATAATTCAAAGGGACTATATATGAAAAGTGTTTTATGAAACATGATCTTCAATAGGTTTTGGCTGTAAAATAAGTGGCAAAAAAGTGAGGCGCAATATACCAAAGGGACATTTAAACTCATAAGTCGAAAATAACTGACAACGCATTGAAAATAAAGACAAAAAGGAGGGAATCTCAAAGAAAAACAACAGTACACAAAACACAACATAGACTGAACAACAAACACCCCATCAAAAACTGGGGGTGATTCCAGGTGATAGGGAAGGGTAAGCAGATCCTGCTTCACATGTGGCACCCGTTAGAAAGTAAAACAAATATAAGAAATTTAAATCGAAATAAAAAAAAACTATTTATAAGTCAATATTACCAATTCATTTAAGGTAGTCGAAGCAATGACAATTTGAGACATGTGAATATTAACGAACTGAGATGATTTTTATCTGCACTTTTGGAAACCCCTAAAAGTCCTTTCCTTAAAGTTAATTTATGATTATAAAGCCTTTTGTTGTTTCAATGCTGAACATACGGACATTTTATAGAAAATCGATAGTCTTTCCTTGTACTCATATATTTGACAATCGGTACTTAATGATAAAAGATAATTGCATGTAATGCTACAAATGATTTTCCTAAAATAATTAATGAAATATTTAGAGTACACCTTCTAGTGTGCGCTTGACTTAAGTGACTCATTACGAAGTTCAGGACTTTTTGTAAACAAGAAACGGTAGCATTAGATAGAGAAACAAATGAATTAATCTATGAAAAATCTGTTTAATAAAGTCTGTGTTGTATATGTAAAAATCATCACTTGATTTACCACGAAATCACAATTTTCCATTAAATGCAATGAAACAATAAACAAAATTGATGTAAAAAACGTTTCCTCTTGGTAAACATGTATGTTAAAAATGATATATCTCTTATATTAAGCATCTTCCACATAATACAAACTTTGATACTCAAATGAGATAAATATCTGTATATTCAACAAGACCGAGTCGGGTACTCAAAAACAACAATAAAATGTTCAAACTAAGAAAGGACATTATTCACTTTTAATTATCTAGTAATTCATAAAACTAATCAGGCATGAAACAAAATTAGAAACTATACAACGTTAATGTCATTGAGGTGTTTATACGCAGAAAGTTATCAATATTGTGCCATATTTCATAATCATTTATCCGTTTATCTTATTAGCTAACTAGTTACATTCTCTCACACTCTTATCAGATGCAAATTTGCTAGTTGGTATGTTTTTAATAATATCTATAAATGAAACACAGAATTTAAATTTTTTTAAATTAAATTTAAAGAAAATAATGTTTCTACAGGAAATTAAATTCGTGTTCAAATACTTACAGTTCTCCTTGATTTGAAATAACGTGGTCAACTGTTTTAAATGGGATGGAGTTCATATCTTTAAAATCTTTTTTTTTTCAGACATTAAAGATTTGTATAGACCCCTTGCCCCTTGCATATTTTTTAAGACATTGCGTTGACCTCTACGAATATTTAGTTAATTATCTCGTTTTGCTGTCTCTACCATATAAACCATTATCTCTTTCTATTAAAAAATAGTTAAAGTTTTCTGATTAAAGCAAGAACTATTTATGATCTGATCCAAAATCTTTTAGTAGATATAGACAATGCAATTTCCCATTGGAACTCCTTTCACGCTAAAAAACTAATCAGAGATAGTAGGTTTATAATTTAGTACGACAGACTAGCGTTTCGTCTAAATAAGACCCATTTATGGTGGTACCAAACACCTTGATTAGAATTTGGCTCGTTTAATTTTCATAAAATTTAAACAAAATATTTACTTTGACCACTGACTTTGACCCTTTGACAAAAATATAAAAATTTCTAAAAACTTGAACCACACACTTTATCGGAAAAAGATCATTGGATATAAAGCAGTTTGACAAACACTAATTTTTGATCATTGAGAAGCTTAAAATTTCCTTAACAATAGAACTTGATTAAAACGTTCAGCTGATTTTCACAAAGTTACCTCCCTGTAGTGTAATGTACCACCTTAAAAACTGTTCATTCCGAGGTTATGACAAAAACGACATAGGCAAATTATGCCTGGGGGTAGAAAACCTATGCCACTTTTACAATGAAGTTTTAAAAAATCCTATCCTGTGATGGAAAGTTTACATGCACCCCTTATGTTTGGCTAAGGTGAAAACAAAGGGTTGTGTGGCATTTTGTCAACATTTATGCCTTGAGCTTCTCAGAGTTTAAGCTTATACTTAAATTATGTACTACCCCTCCCTTTAATTGAAGTCTTCATGTGAACTCAGTTTGATAGCTTTCCAACTCTATTTATACTGATAAAGTCCACAAGTTGTGTCTTTGAGAGATTAAACAGGGATATCATACCTGGGAACTAGTAGCTAAACAAAAGAAAATATCTAGGAATATTAAGAATCTCCCCGAAAGAGGCGTGATAAGTGAATCCGATATATTTACAAAGTACAACCTTTATTTACATTAATTCATAAAGAAACACAATTTGTATCACAATAATACTTATTTCTTTGAATCATAGCTTAAAAAAAATCACTACATACACTCTTAACTTTGCTTTGACAGTACATGTAACATGTTTTATACTCCTTCCTCTGTTACAATTTTTGAAGAATTTAAAAACATGCATAAATTACTGTTAGCCTTAGCTATGTGCAGTTTTAAAACAAAGCCATGTTTGCAATAGTTGTATTTATGAAGTTACTAGTTTGATACACAAATTCTGTTAAAATCTGTGGTTTGCATAGCTTTAACGACTGATTTTTTGTCTATACAAATGACCTTTATAAATATAAAACCACTGCCTTTGCAAGTTATATTATCTGTGTTTATGAACCAGGAGTAAGTGATTTTTGCCTATTTTCCCCTGTGGTCTTAAATTTGCTAAATCATTCTGCTATTTAAGTGAAAATTAAATATCAAATTTATTTTTAGACGAGAACACACTATTGTAAGAATTATGGAGGTATTTTTGTATTTATAAATAAAGGCAACAGTAGTATACCGCTGTTCGAAATTCATAAATCGATTGAGAAAAAAACAAATCCGGGTTACAAACTAAAACTGAGGGAAACACATCAAATATAAGAGGAGAACTACGACACAACAGAAACACAACATTAAAATGTAACACACACAGAAACGAACTATAATATAACAATGGCCATTTTCCTGACTTGGTACAGGACATTTTAAGAAAAAAATGGTGAACTTGAATTAATTTGATGCCAAGGTAAACAGAAAGCACAGTCAGGTGATACAGATTACTTATTTGTTTTCAATAAAACGTAACACTCTAACAAAAATGATTATCACATATCAATGATTTCCATAGACTGCCAAAGTAAATAGGCGTTTCCTAACAGTTCAAACTACATATGCATATTTTAAAAATTAATATACATACCAGGCTTAAGGTAAACTATGTAAACTGTAAACAGAATCTATGCTGAGACATCATATTTTGGACCGAGGATTCCTTGATCTTAATGAAATATTTATACTCAATAATTGAATTAATCACTTATATATTTTTTGGGGCCAAAAACATAAAATATTTAGATTTATGTTTATTATAAAACTTTATAGATTGGTTAATTTCATTGAAATCTCTCATGATAAACGACATTTGGCGAAATTCAGATTTTTCACTTTTTTTCTACTTATTTACAAAATTTTTCTCATTTGAATTTATTTTACCTTTGATTTAATATTTGCTTATAAATATGTGAATTGAGAAGATACCGATAAACATTTGTTGACCCAATTAATGAACATTGAGGTTATAAAGTACGTAAATAAACTCATCATAGATACCAGGATTGAAATTTTATATTTACGCCAGACGCGCGTTTCGTCTACAAAAGACTCATCAGTGACGCTCGAATCAAAAAATATTAAAAAGGCCAAATAAAGTACGAAGTTGAAGAGCATTGAGGACCAAAAATTCCTAAAAGTTTTGCCAAATATAGCTAAGGTAATCTATTCCTGAGGTAGAAAAGCCTTAGTATTTCAAAAATTCAAAGTTTTGTTAACAGTTAATATATAATTATGAACATATCAATGATAGCTCAAGTCAACACAGAAGTGCTGACTACTGGGCTGGTGATACCCTCGGGGAAATAAATCTCCACCAGCAGTGGCATCGTCCCAGTGGTTGTAAATAAACTCATCATATATACCAGGATTGAAATTTTATATTTACACCAGACGCGCGTTTCGTCTACAAAAGACTCATCAGTGACGCT